TCACACAGGCGCTGCAGTTTTTGGGAGATGGGACTTCTGTTTTTCATAGACAGAGAAATGTCCCTCTCTGGGTAGCCAACGCTGAGCAGGGGCTGAGTAAAAATGACTTCCCATTCTGTCCAAACATGCTTCCAGAGCTGCTGAGCAAGTTAGAGAAGAGCCATGGAAGATCTCAAATTGAAGCCTATGCACTTCACACCTCTGGTTTTTACCTGCAAACCCGGAGAGTTTGCAGTGATCTTCTTGTCTGAAGGAGGAAGGGCTGGCCTGGGAGCAGTGACTGCCCTTTCAATAATCATCCTTGTGCTGCCTCTGACATTTAGCAAGAAATGTAATCCAAAACATGAGTTGCCCAAATCTGTAAAACAAGGGGCCTAAGGGGGTCTCCTGCTGAAAGTAGTAACAACAGTACATTTAGTCGATTCCCATTCCAAAGCTTTGCTGGATTGCTCTTGAGGCCCACAGGTTTGAATGTCATGAGACAGCAAAGACTGCATGCATAAGAGTTTTTAAAATGGTAACAATTCCTGACTTTGTGAAATACACGATCATTTCAAAGAGGATGACCTTACAAGAGGGCACAATTGAACAGTATATGTGTGTGTGTGTCCTAATTTCTTTACACATACATATATGTATAGAGCATATAATTGATTGTACTGAAAAGTTCAGTTCTGATACATGATTGGTATCCTCCAGCCTTACATGTCATCTGAGTGAGCAAGACACTTGGCAATCTTGTGCCTCAAAGTTAGGCAATTAATTCAGACTATGTTATAGCTAAACACTTCCCTCTTTTCACTTGCCTGCTCTAAATGTGAGCCCATGTGATTTGGTAATTTGCATAATATCTTCTGACAACCGGAGTCTGAAGTCTTCTTGGGTGATTTGTTTCTCTTTGCAAAACAAAATGGGAGACAGTAGCATCCAAGGGAATGAGTGTATCTATTTCCCTTGAATTGAGCAACTTCAGCTCTTGAAAGCTCAGGTTCCTCTGGAGGTAGCAGGTTCAGAAACTGCGTCACTGCCAATGGGAGATGGAGGCAGTAAACCACTAAAGGGATCTGGAATTACATGTGGTGGTTCATCTCTCCAGCCTCCTCTTGCACCAGTCAGAAGGTGCTTTGAGATTCTTTGCTTCTCCTGACATGACAAAATGGCCCCTGTGCCACCCATGTGTGACAGCTGGGAGAGTCACACAAGATGGGAGTTTTACTATGTGTTTTCTTTCCCTAAAATAACATTCAGTGGTGCTCTGCATCCTGCAAACCTGGGAAATAAAACAGATTAATCTTTGCTAGTATTATTTAAATTTTATTCCTATGGATTATCTTTCCACAGAGCCATAAGCCTTTGAAAATTTGGTCCCAATGTAACTTGCCTATGAAGTCAATTAGCTCCTAAAATGACAACACATTAGAAAGAACTCAGAAGCTGATATAGAAATACCTTGTTTTATTAAGCCTGGCCAATTTTCTGTCAACAAAAATTATGCTTCTGAAGTGATGTGGAACAAGAATCAAACATGAAAGCATACAAGTATCCACTTTTGAGCCCTTGAACAGCTATAAGAATCCACTTCTTCTTGGTATTTCTGCTACACAGAATGAATTTTCATTACGTGAAGTATCTATTATCTAATGAATAAAAAACTGCATTATGCATTAAAGTGTAGTATGAACAAAAGTGCTGGAAAAACTTACATTACTTTGTGCTGAATTTTTGTGGCAGAAATGGTACTTTTATGGACTTCTGCAGCACGGATGATGTGCCACCAACCATGCTACTGAGTTTGCAGTCAAACTTCAACTAGACTTCTAAACCACAGAAAAAACTAATTCCATGAATAAGCATGTGCTAACCAGGGAACACATAATTTTTTTTCATCAGGATATCATGCTCCACATCCTTGGTTGTGTTTGAGGAATGCCATTCCCAAATCCTGGGTGGTTCATATGGAGTCCAAATTGAAGACACAGAGATCAAAAATGTCATAAACTGACCAGAATACCAAGTCCAGGTTTAAAGATGTCAGGCCACCCCTGCTCTGGAAGGAAATAATTGTGCATTCATCCAGCTGTAAGCACAAAATTCACATAGTACATGCTCTGGGAAGCCTCTGAATTCTGGGACCTCCCTGATGGCTTTGGTCTTCCCTTTATAGCACTTTAGAGGAACTTTGCTAAAATACACACCTTCATCTCCCAAGGAAAGAGGTCTTTTAATCCTTGAAATATCCATCTGTTTTTTGAGCCTTTGAGGATGGTGTCCCACATCCATGTTGTGTTCCTCTCCCTTGGTAGCTGGCTGTGCCTTTCCTACTGGCAGCAAACTGGACAGGAGGGTTTGCCAACACATTGGAATTTACCACAAGGTGTGCCATGCTTAATCCCAGCTATTCCACTCCAATTTTGTGCACAGGGAGGTAGGGCCAAGCACTCTCCAGCTGTGCCCTGTCCTGGAAAGTCAGCCTTAATGGCAAGGTAGTCCTACAACGTTCTAGGCTAAACACGGAGATGGTTAGTAGCATGGAGTATTTTTGGCCCCTGTCAGCTGTAAGAAGTAAAAGCAATTTAGGTGCTTGAGGAACAGTGGCAACAGCTTGGACTAGACAAACAACACCTTGGATTACACCTTGGACTACACAAAGAACAAGCACAAAGGCTGAGCATGGCACAGCTCCAACAGAAAGAGGAGTGGCTGGGTCGTGGCTGGGTCAAGAGCTTTTAACCTCAGGTAGCACCTGTGCAGATGTGCGTGGACCAGTGCTGTTAGCACTGAGTTCTGAAGAGGTGAAAGTAGGCATAAAGAAGAGCAAAATGTTGTTTATAGAAACCAAAGAGCCGAGGCTCTGTTGTAATAAATCTTCTGTGATAATAAATCCATAAATTTCCACAGGAGCACCGGTCATGAAGAGTGGGAGTTTGGAAGAGTGCCTGTGGCTGTGGAAATAATTGATATTTTCAGTTAGATGGCCAGAACAAAACAAAACAAAAAAGCCCATTTGAGCTGTCCAAAACCTCGTTTTCTCTCTTTTTAGAAAGAAAAAAGAGAAGGTCAGTGTAGGGCTGGTTTCCTCTCTGGGCTCCAGGGTTATTCCCCATACTGAGGAGGATGCAGGTGGTCAGAAGGCTGCTCCTTTTCACCTCCAGAGGTCTGTGGTTCAGGTCCTCCCTCCAGAAGGGATGGAGCATACTGAACCACCCTCAGAGCAAGGAAAACAAGCTGGAGGTGCATGAAAGGCCCCATCCAGTCTTTCTGCCAGGCTCTTTAGTTCTGTGAAGAGATGCACAGGGGAACAAGGTCATTACCACCATGGAGAAGTGATCCAGAGAGCAGGCATCCTTGGGTGCCTGATTTTTGGTCCAGGATGTGGTTAAAAGTGACGTGAAGAAAAGCCTGGGGAAGGGGTTCAGGCATGGGTTGAGGAAGAACCTTGGAACAAGGTCAGGCTCCAAAGGGGTAGATGGGAAATGTGGGGTTACCCTGTGGGATGGAGTGCATGCAAGATGATCTGAAACACTCAAGATGCCCAGTTTTTGGCAGTGGGCTATAAATTGATTGTGGTGGAGGGACAGAGAAAGGGGAAATTTCAAGCATCGGAGAGTGGAATGAGACTGAAATGGGTAAATACTCATCAGCTCAGAGAAGGGGAGAAGAATTGGGTGCTTTTCCAGCAAGGGTAGCTGAGTGTCAGGTTTTGGTCCAAATATTCAAGCACATTTTGCTCTGCATATTCAAGTCTTTTTAACCTGAGTGAAAGAATTTTAACAGAAAAGACCGTATCCAAAAATATCCTAAAGCTCAGTAGTGAAGTTTCCTTTCAGAACTGGAAATCAGACAGAGAAGGCCCTGGAGCTCAGCATTCCCTTATCCCTGATATGCGTCCTCACACTTGGAGGGCCAGTATGCATGTAAAGATACAAGTAAGGATGTATTGGAGGGGAGTGGGAAGGAGATAAAAGTGGATTTCTTCACCAATAAATGCTTCAATTGTCAAAGATTCTGTCAAATCACAGAAAGAGAAAAACAAAAATCTCTGGGCTGAAAATGCTACTGTGAGGTCCATTAAATGCATATGCTTTTTTATGTTTTTGTATTTCCTGAAAATATTTGCTGAATTGTTTTTCCTGTCCTGACACTGAAATGAATGACTTCCTGACAGAAGTATTTTCTGAGACTAGAAGCACTGTATATTTCAACTAAATATTACTCAACCTCAACCACATAGAATACAGCACCAGGCCCCTGTCCCAAAGCACATACAGAGAAACCCAGTCTCTAGAAAATCATGTAGAGGAATAAAGCACAACCCCAATTTTGATGTAAGTGCCATAACTCTGGCTACCTGGCCTCTGTTCAAAGCAGTGTCTTGTTGCACCCACTTCTCTCTGCCTGATAGCCCAAGGTTGCTGCCCAGAGTGTGGGTGACAGTGGCACAGTCAGAAAACAGCTCCAGGAATTGTACAAATTCCTCCATTTCTTTCTCCTCCTGCCAAATTGTGGTAATTCAGATTATCATAAATGACTTCTTCCTAGGGAGTGCTGAAAACCCTCTCCAGCAAATATGATTTTGTACATTATGATCTGGTTTTATATAGTTTAATGAAATTTTTTAAATGGTTTTCAGGAGAAAAGCAAACACAAATAAGCTCTTCAAAATCCTCCTCAAATCCAAGTCTGTGCAACCTTAATTAGCAGCAATATATAATAGCACTGATTCAGAGCCTGTTGTGATTTTGTCCACACCAGTGAAAAGAGCACAGTGCACTAGGGACCTAATCCCAGCCTGAAGGATGTCTAGTAACACCATCTCATTTCCCAAGCCAGGCTAAGTGAAACCTGCATTTTCTGTCATAGATGGGCATCAAAATGGATCTTAAATATTAGGGCCTCCCTTTCAATTAATCAAGTCATAATAAAGAATAGTCAGGTCTCATGAGTTTCTGTGACAATCTTTGTTTTTCTTTTTCCCTGGCACCAGAAATGATCATGCACCATTTAAGTAGACAGACCACATCATCTTTACATGCCTGCTGGAGGCTCCACTCCCAGCATGAGCTGGGCACCACTTAGACCATTCACTCCCAGTATTCTCCCTCTGCTCCCACGGTCTGCTCTGAAGAGAAGGAGCCCTGTTTCTGTGCATGATCCTGTTTTTACCAGTGTGATAATTAAGATGGTAAGTCCTGGTTTTCAAAAAAAATCCCACTGACTTGAGAAGTAGCCATTAAAAAAAAATCTGTTTATTTCCTGTATCCTACTCAGATCAGTCTGAAAATGAAACACTGTGCAAGCACAAAAAGTTATTATGTGACTTGCAGCCTCCAGCTATTCTGACCTCACTGGATGCCTTACAAGCGTCTATTGTTCTTGGAAATAGCGTGAGATGTGCTTTCCAGAGAGATTATTATATTTTCTTGCTACAAGGAGGGAAAAATGTTCTGATACTGTGTCACGTCATTTCTTCAGTAGTATTTGGATGCAACAAACTGTGGAAATGTGACAGAGAAGAAAACAAACCTGTTATGTGACTAATGGTGCTGAACCACTGTGGACCCAGGAGCCTGTATTTTACTTAAGGCTGCCTGACTCCACCTCCATGCTCCTTGCCAGCTCCCAGTACCTGTCCTCTCCAAAGCAGTAAAACCTTTCTAAAGCCAAAGCCTCTTTGTTGATTGCAGAAGGTAAATCCTTCCTCACCTGCCTCCCCTCAGCAGCTGCACGTGCATCCTCCAGGAGGGCTGGCTCCATCTCCAGCTGCAGAGCTGCTCCTGCAAAGGGTGAGCCCTTGCTGTCACTGTGCCCTGGCAAACCCTGGGAGAGGGTTTGCAGAAGCTTTCGTGCAGACCTCACTCTCCAAGGCCTGATTTCAGCCTTCTGATTGTGGTGGGGAGGGTTGCTCCTGTGGTTGGCCTATATGTGGGAACATGCAGCAGATGCTGCCAGTGGGATGCTCTCTGAAAGCTCATGCAGAGCATTTCCCACAGCCAGCCAAAAACTTGCTCTGAGAGCAGTATCCAAATATTTAAAAATGGGCTGTGACTGCACACCACAAGATTCAGCACTATGATAAGCCAATTTCAGTGACCTTGTAAGAATAAGGTTTGATCCTTCATAATGCTGTGTGGGTTGCTGATTTATAAACAGATTTTCACACCTGCTAGATCTAAAGACGGAACAATTTTTCTTTTGGGAAGTGGCTTTTGGGGAAAGGAAAAAAACTCCTCAAAGAAGGTGGGTATTATCTTGGTTAAGCAGGGCCAGGAGCTATATCCAGGCAACCCAGTGTTATTCTGTGGTGAGAACAAAGGTTTGCTCCCCACTTCCCTGATGATTCTCACAAAGAAAACACAACTCTGTTTCCAGTGGTTGCAACGGGCCACCAGACAGCGGCATTCCATTGAAAGCAGTAGGGCAAGAAAAAGGCAGCAAACAGCAGGAGACAGGGCTGCTTTCTCCTTCACACCAGAACTTCAGCTGTTTGTCCTGATCCCACCTCTCCCACACATCCTGTTCAGAGATGGGCAGTAGGATGCTCTCAGCAGTGGTCCTGGTTGTTCCCACCAGGCTGGTGTTCGCAGGATGGATGAGGAAATGCTACAGGCTCCTCTTGCCTGGTTAGATCTAATCTAGAGAAGAGATGGCACATATTGTATCATCGTGGATTATGATTTAACCAGCAGGTCATGCTGAGATTTTATATTCTGGATAATAGCTAAATGCTTTTGAAGTCTTGTAATCTCGCACAGAGCAGAGGTGGAAAGCGAAAAACAAGAAAGTGGCAAAACATAGCAAGGGAAACCACAGTCTCTATAACACAATAACAGCAACTCTCCCTCAGATTTTGTTTTTGTGTTTCTCTTAGGCCACAGGTCACAGAAGAGCTTGAAGAAATCACAACAGGCTCCTACAGGAGAAAGTCAGGCAGAGAGGGAAAGCAAGCCAGACCAAAGAGGGTATGGAAGGGTGGGGTGGGTCCTGCCAAACCTGTATGTGAGAAAATTGAGTCAAATGTCTATTTATTCTGCCCATGTGAATCTCAGGACACAACACCCTGTGAGAGTGGGCGTGTGGCTGGCAGCTGCTGGGGAGAGATGATGACTTTAAAACTGAAATATTTGCATCAAAGCAAAGGCATCGCAACCAAGGCAGGAGTTATGCCCTGGCTAATCTCAGCTCGACCTCAAATGGGAAAGCCAAAAGGACCGTAACCCAGTGCCTCCCTTAGAGACTGCTCACAGAGAGGGACATATAAAATAAAATAAAATAAAATAAAATAAAATAAAATAAAATAAAATAAAATAAAATAAAATAAAATAAAATGCAGGCCTTGATAAGAATAGGGAGACAAGCAGGTTTAGGGTAACTGAGTGGGAATAATGAGTGGCCTGATTTCTTTCATCCAACAAACTGTTTCCCCCATTTCTCCATGGGTGTCTGTGAAGACAAAGTAACCCATGTCTCCCATGCCAGGGTGCTTGAGGTAGGAAGAACCCCCTTCATCTGCAGCACTACAGAGCACGGGGAATCCTCACTGGTGCAAAACACTTAATACAAAATGTCTTGAAAAGCCTTCATGGACATTCCAAACAGATCAGCATCACTAATAAGACATTATGAACTTTTATAGCATCTCTTCTAAGACAAAAGGCCATAAAATGGTCCCTCACAGCACCTCTGTGAGATCAGCAGACATTATAATCTTTATTTTATTGAAATAGGAATAGGCAGGGAGAGGGCACGGGCCACTTCAGAATTCACATCCATGTGATAATTAGATGTCACAAACATAATGAGGAAAAATGACAGGAAGGACCTACACCAGTGCTTTAAAACTCAAAGTGTCTGGGCAAAAATAGCTTTTTTTTTTTTCTGTAAGTCTGACACAGAAGAGATGTCCCATATCCAAAAGACCTTTCCCAACAGATGTTATGCTAACAGCAGCTTGTTTACACGAGCAAGCCCATCAGCACCAACATGAGATTGCAGCCTTCTACCCTGGCTGAGTGATCACTGATTCAAGCCTCCCTTTTCCAGGTGACAATGACCACTACTCTACAGTAGACAGTTCCATGTTATTTTCACCCCACCTATGCTGTACTGAGAGTCAAGAGGCACAAATGAGCTTCACCATCCAAAATGTAGGACCTTTAATGAACTACACCCCTTGCTGTTACTCTGACACAATGCAAAATTATGCTCCACGTGATATTCAGTGGCAAGAGAGGTGAAAGGAGAATTACCGAAATACCTTGGCAATGAAAGCCCCCTTCTGCTCTGAGGTCACTTTGGAGCTGAGGGAGGGCATGAATATTCACCAATATTTTAATTAAAATTCCTCTGATTCTATGAGTCAGGTAGAGGAGTTTATAGTCTGCTGTGCTGGAACTGAAGGTTATTGGCCTGTGAGCAGTCAAGGTGCCTCAGAGACACGGGAGTAAGAGCTGAAGCTCAGCAAGCCATTTGCAACCGATATTTTTTATGATGAGTTTCACCTTTATCTGACAACTCTCTATAAATTTGCATCATTCTCTAATTTATTCATTATTTAGGTTCAATAGTAACATCAGCAAACAGTGTCTTCCCTGTAGAGCAGTCCATTATAAATTATAATATGCAATATTTGCTATATCCATCTATTTCCTTTTCTATTCCCTGGTAAGTGGAGTTAGGTAACAAAACCAAACAGTGTAAATTTTACAAGAATATAAAGTATTCAGAATTCACTGATGGTCAGTATATTAACATCTCTGTTTAAAATTCACTTGGCAAGCCTCTGTTCTTGTAGAGCTTTAATATACAAATAAATGCAGAAGTCAAACACAGAAGGACTGCTGAACTCAATCAAATCAAGATTCACTTTCAAATTCAAATTAATACATACTTTTCTTTTTCTCCATTTTCCCACTCAGACAACTCTGCTGAGAAGAAAGTATTACATACAACAACTTCAAGTTCAGAATAGCCTCATTAATTTTTTCCACATTCCAGACTCTCCAAGCATGTCAACAAACTGTGGTCTGTCCACTGGCTCACCTACACAAGCCACACTATCTGCGTGGGGATGGATGTGTTCTACCATGAGGTATGTGCAAGGACATGCCTGGAGGCTGAAAGTGAGCTTGGGAAACCAGTGGCTTTCCTAGATGGTTGTGACATGTACTCTGCTCTCTCAGGCAGTAGCAAGCCCCATGTATCTGTGATAGATGAGTAATGCAATGATTGGCTCTCACAATTAATAGAGAAATATAAGGTATATAGGTTAAGAAAAGTTTATAGATTGATAGTTGTGTTGTAGCCCCTCGCGTGGTTATCAAGGGACAGCTGGAGTTGGGACATCTGGGAGGGCTGGCTTGTCACTACGGCTACACCTGACCTCCAGTCAGGATTTGAGGAAGAGATCTCCACCACTGGACAGCGAAGAAGAGGTTGATGGACAGAACTTTGGGAGGGGTTATGGGGTTAAAAAGGATAAAACCTGCATTGAGAAGAGGCTGAGCACATGGTGGGGAAAATCTTTTGCTCCAGCGTTGTAACCTTTTTTCTTTATTCAGTCTTTTGTTGTATTTTTGATAAGGTTTAATAAATATTCCTAAACTATGAGAAGTGAGTACCTATTTCTCACACGCCCTGATACCTCCCGTTATATTCCCTGTAACTGCACTGCACACCAGATTTCAAATATTCCCATGTGAATGATGTCATCCACCCAAGCTCACAACAATTGGGCACCAGGGCAATGCTAAGTCCTTTTTAGGTACAAAGAAATATTTAGCAGGGCAGGGTCTTCCCTGCACAGACCTAGAAAGGCTGAATCTTCTTCTATAATGCAAATTTATATGCACCACTTTGCTCCAAAGAACTCTTGAAGTAAAAGCACTTATTGTGGATAAATATTGTATGTTCTTGGTTAGCTGCAATTTGTACAAATGCTCCTCTGCCTTGAGATCTTGAGGCAGAAGGTAGAAAAAAAGAGAGAAATATAAAGTGTAGTACTGTGAAAAATGCGTATTTTATGATTGGCTTTTCACAAATATTAAAATTAATATTATATGTGTTGTATTAGAAAGTAATGTTGTATTAATTCTCTTAAGTAGTGTGTTAAATATAGTTTTAGGTTATAACAAAATGTTAAAATAGAAACGATGCTATGTAGGATACTTTTTTTAAAGAAAGGACTCGCAGTGAGATAGCAGCCACCTAAATCTTTCAGAGAAAAAGAATTTATTGCTCCATTATCAGAAGAAATTAACTTCTTCCCGCCTCACTCAGGCAGGACGACACCATTAGGATTATGAGGAAGAAGTTGAGGATGACCAGACAGAATCTTGTATTTGAATGGAATTTATACATCATGTATGAAGTGTATGAATATGCAACAGGCTATTGCTTTAAAGGGTTAATCCTCTGTTAACGTGTGTCCTTTTTCGGGCTCATGCTGCCCAGAAAAAGATACCCAGATGTCTGTAACTCTTTGTTTCTCTTGTCTCATATTGTCCTAATTCAAATTGTCCAAATTATTATTATTCTAATTGTATTACTATTTTTATAGCCTTTTTATTACTATTAAACTATTAAAATTTTAAAAATAGGTGATTGGTGTTTTTCACAGTACATTTGTTCCAAAACAACTATGCTTTTGAAATTAGTCACACAGATCCTAATCCAGTGCCTGTACTACCTCTGCTGAAAGTCAGAGATTTTGTTTTATTGAGTGACTTGAAAGCCCAGCTGCTACTTTAAAATCAAAACAAAACCATGTAGTGGTCTCCAGCACTGCCCAGCACCTGTGTAATTGTGATCACAGGACACCGATTTTTTTTCCACTGCTGTAGCATAATGTAGTTTCATAGACAGACTCAGCTCCTTTGTGCTTCAGCGTGAGGAGTAATGACTGCTTGCTGGAGGCCAGATCTCACACACCTTGAGCAGGTGAGCTATCCCCAATGGTTTCAGGCTGCCACTCTAAGTTCCTCCACCTCCTGGCAGGGCTTGCATCAGCACATGTGCTCCAAGCGTGTTTGCTGGGTGAGGCTGAAGATCAGAAGTAGCAGCCACGGCGCAGCTGTCTGCAAACACCGCTTTGGGGAGGAAGTGTTGGAGTGGAGATGTCAAAAAGTGATGAGCCTTACAAATATTTTTATCTCATGCTCCACTACAAGCTTTGCTTCCTGCAACGGAATGCTGGCACAATGGAGATGCTTTCATAGTAACTCCAGAAGCCTGCATGACAAAAGTCTTTGTTGCCATGTGAGCTATCAAAGCTCCCTCTGTGTTTTAAAAAAAAGCGTTACAAAATTTTTAGTGTTGTTGAGTTGCTTGGGTTCATTCACTCATTCCCCTGCTCTTGTGGCCCTTTGAATTCTCTTTCCACCAAAACATTCAGGCTTAATATTCCCAAAATAGCTGTCAGCAGGAAATGTTAGGAGTTTTCAGTCTGAGAAATAACAGGGCCGTCTGTTGATGTGAATCAGCGAGGGTGGGATTTTCAGTCTGCGTGTTGCTGAAGGGGAGGAGGGAGAGACAGCGGTGGAACAAGCGCCTCTTCCAGCAGCTCCCTGAGGGGTTGTGCAGCCGCCTTCCTGAGGGTGGAGGTGGCTGCAAACCCTCTCAAGTCACTCACTGTGGCTCTCAGGCACACAGGGAGATGAGTAAACTGTGCACTCGTTATCGGCAGAAAGCCCTCTGCACCTCCTGAGCAAAAATAAATAAATAAACAAATAAATAACCTAACAAAGAGGAACTGAGACCAGCTCATTCTTGGACTCTACAGGCAACCTGCTCCAGTACCTGCTGATGCTAGAGAAAATACTCTTTTGGATTTCACCATGATTTGGAACAAGCCTTGAATGTTCATTTGCCTCTTTTGCTTTGGAAAATAACTAATGGCATCTGATCTTTACTTGTCAGCAAATCTGCTTTCCCCATTTGAAGTTACTCTCCGTCCTACAGAGTTTCTGAGCTAATAAGTATGGCACAAGCATCTCCTTCCTTGACTTAGCTCACTCTCTCCCTCCAGCAAAAAAGGTGCTTGCCATAATAAGTCTTCTGCAAAAGTGAAAAATTTTGTTTTATGGGAATCTGAATAAATGTGTTCTTCACCTTTAACTCACATGGCTCGCCATTTCCAACTCATGGCAGAGATCTAGTGAGAAAGTGGTGAACGGGACAGGAGTGAGCCGCCAGCTGCTCTGCAGCCCAGGGATTGAGGTGCCGTGTGTGGTCTCAGAGTCACACTCAGACATGGTGCTGCCTGGCACCTCAAAACCTCTCCTCCCGCTGAGGCTGTGGTGTTATGTCAGTCAGCATTTACAAGGTGCTGTCACACTCCAACACAGTGTACCTGGAAAAACCTAACCTTACAGATTTGTTCTGTGACCCACTACAAGCTCCTGGAAATAAAGCCATTCCCAGTTATTATCTTGGCACTGTTTCACTGCTTGCCACAAATGCTTCCCATGATTCTGGGCATAGCAGTCACCTTCTCATGCACCCTGCCACCTTATTGAAACCAGACACGGGTCAGATATGGCAATGATTAGCACAATGCATTCCCCTTCCCAGACTTAGCACCTCAGCCAGAGCAAGAAGCGCTCAGTTGCCTGCCAGAGCTGAATTAATCAGAGGGGAGATTGCAAGACAGTCAGATAGCAGTCAGCTCAGCAGAGGAAGGAACAGACTGTGCCTGAGTCATTGTGTGCCTGATAATAGAAGTTTCCAGCTTCATGAGGAATGTAGGAGAGGATGGACATCATGCTAAGCCTCAGAGAAAACAGAGTGAGAGGTACATAAACACCTCAGCAAAAACAACTGAGTGCTCACAGTCATCAGTGACTTGGTGATGTGTATCTCGATTTATTAGGTGAGCCCCAAGATCATTCATGGCTGTATTCCCCTTGGCAGGGCAAAGCAGCATCCTGAATCTCATTCATGGATGGGAGCATGTTCAGAGCGTGATACTAGACTTCCAGGCACTTTCCTGGACTGTGCTTTCCCTCTCTGGGGTATAAGGTTTCTCCAGATGAGTGAGCAGCAAGGTTCCTGCTAACTGCATGTACATCTTAATGATCAGGTGGAATGGTAATTAGGTGCACATACATTGCAGAAAATTATCTTTGTTAATTAGAGAAGGATGTTAGACATCAGCAATGCTATTTTCCGCTGAAACTTTCCCATTAAATACAACAGAAGTTTAGTTATGCTAGGCATATCAGATTCAAGACGGTAATGTAACTTGTTCCATATTCATAAAGGGCTAATCTTGCAAGGAATAGAGATTCCTCCTCAGAGGCCTTGCTACAAGGGCTTTATACAGGGGAGGACCATGGCCAAGTGCAGTGGCAGTGCTCAGGAAAAGTTCACATGTGGCAGAAAAGAGGACTGCCCACACCACTGGGAAAGCCCCACTGACATTAGTGCCCAGGCTCTGTGAATTCCCACATAAACCATCACCATTTTATATGGGAGTAGGTCACAGGTGTGGGCAAGATGTCCCAAACTTTACATGGTTACCCTTGAGCATGCCATGTTTCTGTGCCCTGTTTAAGAGCAGGAACAACTCACTGAAGATGCATCATCATTTAGCCATACTGGAGGAGATTCCCACTAATTCTTCTTCCTAAAGGATCCAGGTGTGTAGAGAGAAACAGAATTAAATGATCTCAGATACTTCATTCAGCATAGAGCACTCCAAGGAACTCAGAGGTCCCAGAGCAGAGGAAGCTGCAGTGCACAAGTTTGGATTGAGCCCAAGAAAGAAATATTGCTTCTTTCCCCAGGTGATGGAAGAAATAAGCTTTTGAAAACAGCAGCTAATATTGGGGTATTTCCTCCACTGCCACCATCTGAGTCCTTCCAACAGAGATATCAGGTGACGTCTTTTCCAGTAGACAATCCCTGGAGAAGGCAGAGAAATGTTCTTCTCCCTACTACCCAGGAAGAGCCAGAAGGATGGTTCCTGTAACATCTATCCCCCTCTGCTCCCTCTTAGTGCTCACTGTAGCCACCTCTAGTTTGTGATCTCATCCACCTCTGCCTCTCCAGAAAGTCCAACACTTCCTTGGAAAAGCAGCAGCACCAAGATGAGTGAATTACCTCAGCTCTGTCCTGGGATGAAAGAGCCTGAAGCATCACAGTCCACTTGCCAGGCCTGGCTCAGAGCATGGTATTGCATGTTTCCCAGCAGTTACTTCAGGAGATCAGAAGGGCTGGAGAGCTGAGAAGACCAAGGGATTGCTGTTTCTTGCAGGACAGCTCTTCCCACAGCATGCCGAGAAGAAAGCAGTATTTATAGCTTGTGGGACACAGCGTCAAGGTCAGCTGGGGTCTGGCTTGTACTCAGCCTGCCCACAGCTCCTCTCCCTGCTCAAAAAGGCCTGAAAAGCCCTAGGAATCCAGCCAGGCTGTGCTTCAGAGGTACAACCCAGGTGCTGGAAGCCCACACAGATGGTGTCTTTGGAGGGCAGGCTGTATCTGAATGCAAGCTGAGCAAGGAAAGGAAACGTCCCTGCGTGGGGTCTGGTGGGCTCATTGTATTGCCAGTCACTATTCTATCTGACTTTGCTTCTGCTCCCAGGTTGATATATCCAATATTAATGAGGCATTTGTACTCCATCATGGAGCCCTCTAAGAACACAAATTTACTCCTAAGTGAGTGTGTGTTAAATTAATAATTATAATTTTAATTTTTGGTTTGGGTTATTTTGGGGGGGAGGATGATGTCTAGCAGGGCTTATTTTCTCCCCTCAGGAGCAATACAGCAAACAGCAGCAGACTGGATATTTTGTGCTGCCCACAGTCTGGCTAATCAGCAGGGCTGGCTCTAAGTAAGCAGGAGCATGTGCTTGCACAATATCATGTGTTTCTCAGAATACTCTGGGAATATCAGTGACGTGGGAAATGACAAGAGTATCAGTGACACTGGGACAAAGAGAAATTAACTGTGAGCTGGTGAAAGCCACAAAAGGAAATACATTTTCCACTCTAATGATCCTTCCTGAGTCAAGTGTCCAAGCCACA